GGTGTTGCTTCTAAAATTGGAGCCCTGGGTCTGGGAAGGAAGAGTATTTTTGCGATTTGGGGAAGGGGGGGGGGGGGGTCCTAAACCCTAAACCCTAAACCCTAAACCCTAAACCCTAAACCCTAAACCCTAAACCCTAAACCCTACATTGCAGCCAGGAATGTAGCATATCCAAATATGAAGGCCGCCTCTGCCGAAAGCGCTTTGCTTCGGGCGAGGAGAAGGCGTCCATGCTGGAAGACGCCCGAGGAAGATATAGGGTTTAGGGTTTAGGGTTTAGGGTTTAGGGTTTAGGATCTATCCAGGGTTTCTAAGGCGCGACAGGCCAAGATTTTCATTTCAAGCGCACGCTCATGAATGCAGGCGGGGAACGGCTCACACATATCTATATATATATATATATATATACTAGGCATAATAATTAATCATCACATAATGGTACATATTACAGGAATACTAGTACTAGCATGTCTATCTATATATATATATGAGGTCTATATATAGATCTATGTGTACGCCGGTGTACAGACATGTAACCCCATGGACCTGGCTCGTGTATCTTGGCTTCAGGGCGGCACCAGCCTAGGGTTCAGGGTTTGGGGTCAGGCCTCTGAATTTTCGATGCTGTGCGAGGTGGTTTCTTTAGCTTGGCCTGACGGTACGCGTGTCTGTACAGGGGCGCGCGAGCCAAGCCTGCGACGACACACTTGCATAGATTAGGCACCGCCACCCCAAGAGCATAAGGAAGAACTCGACCTTACCCTAGGGATCCATGTACCTATATAGTATATACTTGTGCCTTACAGATGTTCCTGTATAGTAGCTTTAGGGCCCGAGTGTATACTACATAGGTACATGGATCCTTTGGGTTACCCAAAGGCTCCTATGTAGTACCTTCTTGGAGTAGTATACTAGAATCCCCTCTAACTAACCCCGAAAGGGACTACATTGGAGCCTTTGGGTATTCTCTGTGCACATATTCGAACCCTTTTCGCCCTTGAGACATGGCGAGGGCACTCAGGAAAAGCAGGTGCCGAAACTTAGAAACCCGAAGCCCTACAAACCCTAAACCCTAAACCCCCGATAAATCCCTTCCCCAAGCCTTGAACACTACATCTTCCAAGCTGCTCCCGACCTAAGCCCTACAAACCCCAGACCGCTTACGCCCTCGAAAGGCTTCGGTCTGCGTTGTTGTCTGTTATATAAAAATATAAGTACAAAAAATGTATTGATATTTATATATAGCATTTACACTTTCATATTCATATGCATATCCATATTGGTATGTATATCTATATTATGTGTATTTATACTTATACTTATACTTATATTCTTGTTTGAATGAACATTTATACTTATATCATATCTATATTTATCTATAATTATGTATGAATTTTCATTTATAAGAATATTTATATTTATATTTATATTTCTACTCATCTATAATTAAGTATTTCTATTTCTATTTCTGTTTCTATTTCTAACGATATTTAAATCTATATTTAAATTATATTTAGGTCTATCTAAATTGAATTGTGGCAGGGCAGACGTACTGTAGCAGGCTTAAGGGCCTTAGAAGGTGTAGGGTTTAGGGGTTTCGAGTGAGGCTTTTCTTTCGGCATGGATTCTGCTATACACGTCTCCTTGCCCCTTAAAGCCATGAGGATACCTGCAAAAGGACACCGGAGTTCAGAACCCTAAGCCTAAGCCCTAAACCCGAAATCCTAAACCCTAAAATAAAACACAACAATCCCGAGGGCATGGCACCCCCTCCGCCCGCGAATGAGTTCTGTGACTGGCCTCAGGCGGTGCGTTTTGGGGCTTAGGGATGGCTACTGTAGGGTTGTGGAGTTTCCAGCACCCTAAACCCTAAACCGCGCCCCAACATACCCTTACCCCAGGGCTAGAAGTATAAAAAACAATACCTACATTGGGATCTAAACTCCGCAAATAATACCAACTTTGGGCTATTTGGGGCCTCAGGGTAAGGGACTGTGGCCAAAAGAAGCCGGAAAGGGTTTTGGGGTTCGTATGCGTTCAACAGGGACTATAGTAGTGCAGGGTATATGGTCTGAATTGTCGGGTTATGGGATTATAGTGGCATAGGGTATGTGGTCCCAATTTCAGTGTTCATATGGTCCCTAAACCCTAAACTCTAAACCCTAAACCCTAAACCCTAAAACGGAACAAGGCTGCCATGCTCAGGACGCCGCTCTGACTGCCGCCATCGCTGCCCTTTGACCCCTGACGGCCCTGCGTGACGTGGGTCGCTGCTAGGACTTCTCAGCCCTAAACCCTAAACCCTAAACCCCAAACCCTAAAGGGTTTGTTCTGCAGTGGGTTTAGAGTTTATGCAGACCTCCGAACTCCGAACTCCGAAACCCTGAGCCCTAAACCCTAAAAGAAACGAGGCTCGAGCCTCGCCCCGTCGCCCCCTATCGTCCAGAGCACTACCATGCTGGTTCCACCACTGCGACGCCAGAGTAGGCCAAGAGTGATCTATGGATAAAAAGGGTGCCCTTTTGGTTTAAAAGGGGTCTATAAGAGTAACCTTAACCCTCCCAAGACCACCCACCTCAAACTTCTCAGAAACCCGCATCCACAACGCTAGGCCCTAAACCCTAAACCCTAAACCCTATTATACATCGCCTTCCTTTGTTTGAGGTGGCTGTCGGGTGCCTTCACCTGCCCAGAAGGCGGTTGCGAAGAGCGCCTGGGGCAGCTGGGCAGGTGGGACCCCTACTCATTTTCAGGGTTTAGGGTTTAGGGTTTAGGATTTTTTCGGGCTACAGGTCACAAGTATCCGACCACTCAAGAGGGGGCTCTGAAAAGGGCAGCTGGTCTGCCTCAAATACCTGCCAGGGGCATCCCAATACCCTTTGGTGAAGGCATGCAACTTGACCTATCTCAGGGATCCCTGAATGTTCGTTACTCCCTTCTTCTGAATATGTCACATGGTGTGTATATGCATACGTAGATGGATAGAAAGATATATACATACATACATACATATGTATACATATGTATATATATATATATGTATGTATGTATGTATGCATGCATGTATGTATGTATGTATATGTGCATATATATATATACACATAATATAATATATATATATATATATGTGTGTGTGTGTGTGTGCATGTGTATATATATATATATATACATACATACATACATACATACGTACGTACATACATACATACATACATACATACATACATACATACATCCACGCATACATACATACATACATACATACATACATACATACATACATACATACATACATACATACATACACATTTGATTGTTCAGACCAACCCGACACACACATCTATGTGTATACATCAGGCTGCGCGTTCTCAAAGGGGACCATAAACTGGAGAACCCCACCCTCCCCCCATAAGAGCTTGTGAATCTATTTGGGGCATAAGGGTTCAGGCTCCCAAGAATCTAAACCCTTTTCCCGAGAGACTTCGCCAGCGTCGATAACCCTAAACCCTAAACCCCAAACCCCAAACACCCAGCGAGGAAGGGGGATGGTAAGCCTGCAGGCGCATATGCCGCATCCTGGGAGGCCCGCAAAGTCACGGCACAGGAGACCCCCCATACGCTATGTTGGCTCCCCAAACCCCAAACCCCAAACCCCAAACCCTAAACCCTAAACCCTAAACCCTAAACCCCAAACCCGAAACCCTAAACCCGAAACCCTAAACCCAAAAACCCCTAACCTCCTAAGGCTAGGGGGAAATTCCCCTCAAATCACGTTCTGGGAGAACCCGAAGCCGGGTTCCGAGCACATCAGCCCGCGCCTTGGGCTTGGTCAGAGACCTGGTGCATCCCAGGCACTTCCGGCGGTTTAGGGTTTAGGGTTTAGGGTTTAGGGTTTAGGGTTTAGGGTTTAGGGTTTAGGGTTTAGGGTTTAGGGTGACTGACACATGTTTGAAACACCTGCCCTAGGAGAGTTGGCTGCCACGACCACCACATGTGTCACAGCAAGCAGATTCCATGTGTTAGTAGGGTTTTAGGGTTTAGGCTTGGTATGGCTTAGTAGGCTTCTTAGTTGTCCAGTATACTACCCTAAACCATGAACCCTAAACCCTAAATCCTAAACCCTAAACCCTAAACCCTAAAACCTAAACCCTAAACCCTATCGGGAAATGAAGATCCCCGTCCACATCATGCCCTCGAGGTTTCTTCTTCACAGGACCAGCAGAAGGGCTATACATGAGAGCGGACATGTCAGAAGCAACTACACCAACACCCAAGAAGGAATCCGAGCCGAAACCCTTGAGCCGTAGCCCTAAATCCTAAACCCTAGACCCTAAACCCTAAGGGGAACCAAAGGTTGACCTTTGGATTGTGAAGGGCAGATACGACCCCAACAAAGGTCAAGTCGCTTGGCCCTGGGGTGGCCAGGGGGGGGGGGGGGGGGACACAAGGCTCCGACCACCAAACGGAACAAGCCCCCCAAAAATGCCCCTAAACCCGACACTCTAAGACCTGTAAGCTCTGATGAACCATACCTTAAGTCCTTAAGAACCCCAAACCTACTCGTTTTGTAGGTATAATTCCTATAAAGCCCCTTCCAGGACTCATAGGTGACCTACAAAAAAAGGTAGGCTTTGGGTACTCAAGCTAAGCTCTGCGCAGTCCCTTGCACGTTTAACGCCTGCTCTTCCCGGGCCCCAGCGGATCCTCTCCAGGCAGCAGGTGAGGCTTCGGCTCAAGCATGCGCACCTGCAACTGACGGTCTGCTTGCTTTGCAGCATGGAGGGGAAGGAACCCTCAACCCTCAACCCTCCACCGTAAACCCTCAACCCTCAACCCTAAACCCTGAACCCTCAGGGGGAAGGAATACATACCATAGGAAATACACAGTACTTTTCTTTCCAACGCAGCGGAAGGGTATCGCTCTGCGGGCAATACATATGGGAAAGTACACAGTACATACAAAGTGGGATTGAGGATGCATGTATTCATCCCTGACCTGGCTATGGATGCCTATTGTGGCCCGCAATTCTGCATGTTTCGGCCATGGCATTCAACACCGGCTTGCCTTCTGCCGCAGAGTCTTGAGACCCGGAAGCAGCGTTCCCTCGGTGCACCTTGCTGGCAAGGGTTCTTCTTGCATTCCCCAGAAGCTCACAAAAAACTCAATAGCTTCGATCCCCCTCAAGACGATTGAAAGATTGCAGTTCTTTTGGGACTGCAACCCAGCCGCCCACCCACCAAGCCTAAACCCTCAACCCTAAACCCTCAACCCTACATTCGAAGTAAATAAACAAGGATCCCCTCGTTGGAGGTAGATTATGCTAAGGGGTCTTTTCAAGAAGGTGTGGGTTCAGACTCCAGAAGGCTTAGGGTTTAGGGTTTAGGGTTTAGGGTATGTATGTATATATAGATCTCCTCAATCTAGTTGAAACTTATGGGGGAGCTATTTTCTACGGGTGGCGAAGCAAGATTAATCGAAGCCCACCCACCTGCGAGGTGGCTAGGTTCCCCTTTGGGACCTTTCACGAGGCACGACTGAGCAGACCAAACGCAAAGGGCAAGATATGCCCTGAGCGTGAAAGTGTAGTACCCCGCAGGCCACGAGGACACGCACTTACACACAACCACTACACATACAGGACAGCAGGGCGTACTCAGCACATCTCAGCCATAAACTTAGAGACCTTAACTCTAAACCCTAATGTCCTAAGCCCAAAACCCTACTGCCCTAAAGCCCAAAACACAAACCTCCTACCAAGCATGCCAAAATGAACAGCCCCAGCGTAAGCTTCACGTAGGACTCCTTGAAGAGTTCGTTTTGTATCGCGGCGGGTCTTTATTAGGGCTTGCTAGGGATTCTTCTGCCTTACGATAGGGTCGATTTATTCCTTGTTTGCTTTTGGGGGGTTGGGGGTGGTGGGGGGGTTATGGTTTTGAGTTGTGTGGGCTTGCTAGAACTTAGGGTTCATGTTACGGCTTAATTCTTGGGCTGCAAAGTCTTGGGGGGGGGGGGGGGGGGGGGGGGGCAATCCGCCTCTCAAATCGCGCAAAAGGCCCCCCCGGGCTCCCGGCGACAAGCGGTCTAGTGCCTGGGATTAATGGGGTGGGAAGGGTTCGGGGTTTAGGGTTTCGGCTTGAGGGTTAGCAGGGTAACCCCAAACTCTGCTTTGCAACAGGCCAGGTCTAACACTTTTCTTGCAACGCCCACAAGGATGTTTTGAGATTCCTATATTTACCGAAAATATAAATTTGCGTTGGTCAGTTTGGGGTGGTTCTTAACCAAATACGTAGACAACCCAGCTTCCCTAAACCCTATAGTCCTAAACCCTAAACCCTAAACCCTAAACCCTAAACCCTAAACCCTACTGCGGCCCAGGAGGCCGGGGAGACGCGGCTGGTCTCGAAGCTCTGCAGCGCGAACTCCTTGCTGACCAGCCGGGAAATTTGGAGGTTTAGGGTTTAGGGTTTAGGGTTTAGGGTTTAGGGTTTAGGGGGGTTTGGGGTCCGTTCTTGAACTGCTGTGCACGTCGCATGTCTTGACTTTTCCATTCTCAAAACTTGGTCCGAGAGCGAAAGATGTTGCGGGGGATTCGTAGTAACATAGGGGTACCCACCGACTGGAGGGTTCTTGGGAGGAATGGAGTACGTTGGGGTTTACTGGGGGAACCCTATTTCACCCTATATACTGCGTTTAGGGTTTAGGGTTTAGGGTTTAGGGTTTAGGGTTTAGGGGGGGATTAAAGCACCTCGGCGCGACTGCGGCACCTTTCTTTCAAAGGAGCCCTGGGCCAGGACCCTCTCCCTCCCATGTGCATGTTAGGGTTTAGGGTTTAGGGTTTAGGGTTTAGGGTTTAGGGTTTAGGGATTAGGGATTAGGGATTAGGGTTTAGGGTTTAGGGTTTAGGGGATACCCTGAACCCCAAATGCTAAAACGTGGCATAAGCCATGTCCCCTAGAATCCCGAACGCGTACCTAAGTCCTGTCATTCTTACAAACCGTATATACCCCATAACCTCTATATGACAAACCCAAAAGCCCTTAACCCCATAAACCCTGCTGCACAAGACTTACACATTCTCTAGACACCCGAAACCCACTCAGTCAGAATCGCGTCGCTCCTTCGGCAGGGGGGTCTGCAAGTGCTTCTCAACCAGCTCCTCCCGCCGCCGCCTTCCAGCGCTATGACAGAGCATGTTCTAACGTGGGGGGCTCCCATTTACCTACTTTTTTGGGGGGCTGTGCCCTCTATTTCCGTTTAGGGTTTATAGAGTTTAGGGTTTGGGTTTAGGGTTTAGGGTTTTCCTAGGGGGGGAGGGGGGGGGGGGGGGGGTTTGCAAACCCTAAACCCTGTATTCAGGGGGACACAACCTACTCTTTTGCAGGCTTTGGAAGTCGCCGGTAGGACTTTGGATCGCAGGGTGCAGGCGTCGGCACCTCTCCAAAACTCTGAGCCCCAAGTGGTGTAGGATATACCCCCCAGAGGTAGGGTTTAAGGTTAAGGGTTAGGGTTTTCTAAAGAGAGACTCATTAATCCCCCCACAGCTCTAAAATCACAACTTTGCCATGGGACCAAATCTATCCTATGATCGGGATGATTACCTTAAAAATAATCCCTGTATGAAGAGATTGCGGGTTGAACCCTTCTTGCGGTTCGCTCTTAGTCCCAATGGCACCTTTTTGGGGTTCATCATGAGGGAACCTTGAACCAAAAAGGAAAACGGGCACCACTGTCTATTCAGATCACACGTGCTGTCGCCTGTGAGGCTTCCTCGCTCCAACCAGCGAAGTCCCCAAACCCCCGTAAACCACTAAACCACTAAACCCTAAACCCTAAACCCTAAACCCTAAACCCTAACCGCTAAACCCTAAACCCTAAACCCTTTCTGTTGGGCAACGGACTTGGAGATTGCTGCCAAACATGAAACTTCTCGAAGAAACCCTCAACCCCAAACCCCAAAGCCCCTCTCTTGGGCGCAAGTTCTCTTTGTGAACCTTTGGGGGCCAACCCCAAACCTCAAACCCAAAACCCCTTATAAACCCCAAAGCCTAAACCCTAAACCCGAAACCAACCCTCAGCCCATCCGGAGGCGCGCCTCTCCTGCGCTTCGGCCTCACGACGCTCGCGCTCGCCTCACCAGCTTGGATAAGGACTTTCGAGGGGGTTTAGGGTTTCTAGGGTATTTAGGGTATTTAGGGTATGTAGGGTTTTAGGGTATTCAGGGTGTTCAAGGCTTAGGGCTCAGAAATCGAGCAGGGGAAGAGGGGGGGGGGGGCGGGGGCGGAAGACTGTAGTTTAGCGCATCGGCCCTGGCGATTGGTTGCTGAGGAGGCCACGTCGCGCTGCCACCGTGCCTGAAAAGAGGAATTCGTAAGGGTTCGTGTACCAAATTATGATATACTTGGGCCCCAACGTCCCTATGTAGGAAGCACTTTAAGGCCCAATGGCCAAAATCAACCTACCTCAACCCTAAACCCTACTCAACTACAGGGACCCTTAGGCAACAGTGCCAAACCAATGCTGGAAGTGGTGCAGGGTTCCTCATGTCGAGGGGCCAGCGCTGTGTGCGAATGCAGGACTTGTCAGCACTGTTGATATACTTCTACCCTGACGATGATCTAATAGATCTACTCATACGTACTGCTATAGTACTATGAGTACTGTGCTATTATACCCCAAGGCTCCAAATAGCCCAAAGTAGGTATCATTTACAGACTTTAGACCCCAACGTAGGTGTTGTTTGTATACTTGGAGCCCTAGGGATATGGAATTATGGCATAGGATGATATGGTCTGATGCTGCGGGCACAGCTCCGAAGTCGCCGAGTCAGCCGAGTTCCTCGCTGTCCCTGCCACTTCTCACCTGCAACTTAGGGTTTAGTTTAGGGTTTAGGGTTTAGGGTTTAGGGTTTAGGGTTTAGGGTTTAGGGTTTAGGGTGTAGGGTTTAGTGTTTAGGGTGTAGGGTGTAGGGTTTAGGGTTTGGGGTTTAGGGCATAAAAACCACGTAGCTACAGGCCTAGCCACTTTGAGGGTCCCATGTACCTAGATGGTATATACTTGTTCCTTACAAGGGGTTCCAATACAGTAGCTTTACAGGGTGGAAACCATTCCTGTAGATGGTTGGCTTTCAAGATTTTGAGCAACTGTGGACTAGGTTATAACATATATATATATATATGTATGTGTTTCCCAAAAGTAGAGAACTGGCATGTTCAAACTTGCATGCCGCTGAGTCCCCGAAAGCTCTCGACTCGCGTTTCTGCGCAAAATGGTAAAGCTGAGGGCCGGGACGCTCTGCGAAACGCTTCTCTTGTACTCCTGGATATGGGTGTTTCCGAAAACAGGGGTGCCGAATTCTATGGGTTCCTATAAAGATTCTAGTACATTGGGGGGGGCGGGGGGGCGTTCTTGAAATGATGTTTTATTACAATAATTGAAATTCAGAGCCCAAATACAGGGTACCCAAAACCGGCCAATTTAACATACTTCCCCTAAGAATACTTGCATAGAGCTTGGAATCCGTAAGGTGCAGGGTTTATTGCCGGCTTGCGGGCGTTGCGCGCTATAGATGGGCAGGCAAGAACTACCCGGGAAAGATTTGGAGAGCGCCTCTCTCTGACTCTCTGATGTTGGGCTGAGCCCTCTGCAGAGTTGTTTGAGACAAGGAGGGGGAGCCGGGGGGGGGGGGGGGGGGTTGTTTAGGGTTTAGGGTTTAGGGTCTAGGGCCAATCATGTGCTTTGTGCTGCAACGTGCACGTGACGGATCCCTGGGGACCACATGAACCCTAAGTTGGGGCAAGTATATAATCATGTGGTACATGGACCCTTAGGGTTAAGATGCATGAGCCATACCCCCTTCTATGGCTTAGGGCTCACTTGGTCGCCTATGATCTGGGAATCTGGGATCAAGCTCCAAGGACGGACCACCCACAAGCCACAATTCATACAACCACCCTGGAAAGAGCGGATGCCCACTGTGCTGGCAGTCCTTTGGAGTTTCTAATGGCCTGGGCACACTGCCGGCACACTTTTCATGGATGGTGCGCACAGGAGGTGAGAGGATACGGCTCTCGAATGTCATCGGAGTCTCAGCCGGAGAGCGGGCGCAGACGGAGAAAGTGCGAGACAGAGACAGAACGGGAGGAAACACAAAAATGGAAAACAGTTGGGCTGGAGGATTTAGGGTTCAGGCTCCCTTAAGAAGGTGAGCAAATATAAGCGACCACTGGATCATTCCCGGCTTTATCACCGGGGTAAGACCTAGAAGCCCTAAAGCCTGGCCCCACAACCTGTGTGTGCGGCTTGGGGTTTAGTTTATTTTTTTTGTTAAGTGTAGTTTAGGGTTTTGGGTTTCGGGATTAGGGTTACATCATCACCCTCAAACCTATGAGCCCAAAACCCTAACTAAGCCCTGTCCTTCCTACAACTTGTGAACCCCTCCCAAACCCGTCACAATGCTGCAAAAACCCCAAAATTAGACTGGTTTAGGGTTAAGGGTTAAGGGTTCTTCATCCAGCCTAGGGAGCAGATGCTGGGCAAGTGGCTGCCCACAACCCCCTAAAACCCTCAACCCCTAATCCCAGAACTGGGGATGTCCCCCCTTATACTAACAGTCCTCAAGAGGGGTTCTAATCGGGGGTACTACAATCCCTAGTAAGGACTGTTAGCATTGTAAGGGGGAAAATCCCCCAGAACCCTAAACCCTAAACCCAAAACCAAAAAAACCCTAAACCCTAAACCCTAAGAACCCTAGATTTCCTGGGCCTCCTGCCAAACAGGAGGGGCGGAGCTCGAAGCGGCGGCATTCAAGGCGAAGGGGTCCTCTCTGCAATCCCCCTGCCCCAACCCCAAACCCCAAACCGCAAACCCCAAACCCCAACCCCAAACCCCAAACCCCAAACCCCGAAACCCTAAACCCCAAACCCTAAACCCCCAACCCCGAAACCCTAAGCAAGTTGATCCCCAAAACAGCCCAATACCCCTTAATTAAGGAATTAAGGATCCCTATATAAATTAAGGCATATTCCCTAATTCAGGGATGTTGGGCTCTTTGGGCAATACGACAACAGGCACATTGGAGGTTGAACTACAGGTGCTCTTGATTCTTGAAGGTTCCTATTCGGTTTATGAGGAAATTATGAGACCATTTTGGGAACAGTTACTTTGACAAGGTACAAGAAAGCCATGCCAGCGTAGACCGCAAACAGTAAGAGACCATGCGAGCCCAGAAGGCCAAAAGCGAAGACAGTTTCACATGTTGTGAAGGTGCGGCCACCTCCGTGCCTAGGCGAGTGACTTCGAGAAAATAACAGCCCCCTAAACCCTTCTAAACTCGGACTGCAGCGCGCACGCCGCCCGGGCGTGCCGCGTGGTGACATCGACCTAGCCCCTCGTCCTCTTGACATTGGAACCCCCTTAGCGTTGACATGTAGGGATCGGTTTAGGGTTTGGGGGTTTGGGGGTTTGGGGTTTAGGGTTGGTATTCTTCGATTCTTTTAGGCGGTTCTTATGCAAATGGTAGTATAGTGTTGGGTAGGATGTCTGTTGGCTTGCATTCTGTTGGCATCCGGCGCTGATTCGGAGTAAACTGCAGGACTGATACGCTGGTCCTCGTCCTCACCCAGCTTGGACACGAGCCTTGTGGATTTCCCAAAGAGCCCAATACCCCTAAATTAACGAATATACCTTAAACCATAAGAAGGATCCCTATATAAATTTAGCAATATTCCCTAATTAAGGGATATTGGGCTCTTTGGGTTCAAGATGCGCCAGCACAACACAACGAACAGTTGCAGACATTCTCCTCAAGAAACGCAGAGTCAAAAGTGCGAGCAGCGTGCTGCGCCATGACCGTGATACCCGAACGGTCCATTTGTAGTACTGTTATGGAATTTTGTACCCAAAGATCATACTAAAAACGGTTTTTTGTGCCTAATTCCATAATATAGAACTACAAATGGTATCGAGTGTTGAGGCATTGGCTCCGGCGGAGTGTTGCCGGGTTCCCAGCCGCCTTGGCGCGGCCGAGCTTTGATAGGGGTCGGCAAAATTGCTAACAACCCTAAGGGTTTAGGGTTTAGGGTTTTAGGGCTTAGGGTTTTAGGGTTTAGGGTCTAGGGTTCAGGGTTTAGGGTCCATGTACCTAAATAGGGATGACTTGGGCCTTACAGTATCTCCTATTTAGGGACTTTTGGGCCCAAGTATAATCATGAGGTGCATGGACCCTTAGGGTAATAGTCCCATATGATGGTCCCTTTGTAATTATACAATAATAACCCCCAAAGCCTTGTTCCAATTATTCATTCCCCTATATTGCAGGGAGGAACCTCCAGGGCTTCAGAACAACGCCAGCGCTATGGTGCTCTGAACATCTCTGAACCCCTAACTAAGCCCTGTTGAAAGGTTTTAGGGGTTTAGGGCTCCTAACTTTCAACCTCCCTCAGTTTTTTTACCGCCCAAACGCTCTCGAGCTCTTTGGGCTTAGCCCCTTTGATTTTGTCTCCCCAAACTCCCCGAACCCCCTAAACCCGCTGAACCCCCTAAACCCCCTAACCTGCAACCCTAAGCCCTAAGCCCTAAGCCTTGACCCCAAACCCTAAACCCTAAAACCCTAAGCCTGCTCACTTGTGCCTCGCTTCCCAGGGCCCGAGCCATCGGCGTACAGGTCGTCAAGCTGTCGTATGATCATGTCCTGCCGTCTCCGGCGAGCCCCGAACAGGGTTTAGGGTTTAGGGCTTAGCGGTTGGGGCTTAGGGCTTCGGGTTTAGGGGGTTTAGGGGGCTTTTGGGGGTTTTTGGGGGTTTACGGGGTTTAGGGGGGTTTGGGGGGCAGCCCCATGAGGTGTAGCTGGGGTTCTATGTAGGGTAAGCCGAGAAGGGTCCATGTACCTATATATTATATACACTTGATCCGTGAAGCTACTGTATAGGAACCCCTTGAAGGCCCAAGTATATACTATATAGGTACACGGACCCTTAGGGTCAAGTCTGAGTCTAAGGATCACTGGCTAAAACCTGACTTTGGTTGCTTATCAAAAACCCTACACCCTGGGTTTAGGGTTTAGGGTTTAGGGTTTAGAGTTTAGGGTTTAGGGTTTAGGGTTTTAGGGAACATTTATGTGCCTCCAAGTATAGGGTTCTATAGTGGCCAAGTCCTCTGCTTCAAGCGCCAGCTCCTGCAACCAGCTGCCCATGTGGGGGGTTATGTCCAGGTAACCCTGTTGCATCCGGGCTTGGGGAGTCGGCCGGGTATGTCCAGGTAACCCTAAACCCTAAACCCTAAACCCTAAACCCTAAACCCTAAACCCTAAACCCTAAACCCTAAGCCCTACATACTTCTATGGCGAGAAAAACTAGGGATTGGGGAAGCTTATTCACGGCAGCCTATACCAAGGTGTAGGACCCATGGAGGTTCTGACCCTAACCCCTAAACCCTAAGCCCCCCCCAAACCCTAAACCCTGAACCCTGAACCCTGAACCCTGAACCCTAAACCCTAAACCCTAAACCCTAAACCCTATAAGCCCTAAACCCTAAACCCTAAACCCTAAACCCTAGACCCAAACCCTAAACCCTAAACCCTTTTTGCATCCGGCTTGGGCAGTCGGCCCTAAACCCCAAACCCTAAACCCTACACGCTAAGCCCAAAACCCTAAACCCTAAACCCTACATGAAGCTTCATGGGTATCTGGTTTGTGAGAGGTTTTGGAAAAAGATTGCAACCAGAGGTGGGACTTAGGGTTGTGTTAGGAAAGGGTGGGCTTCCAAGGAATGATCTGCAAGCTCTTGAGGTGTCCTTGGTATTTAGGGTTTAGGGTTTAGGGTTTAGGGTTTAGGGAGTAGCCAGATTGTAACAAGGGTACGCCTTCTGGGGGTCCGTTACTTTACAAGGGAACCGGGAACCAACCAAAAAGGGGAAACATGGTACGGTTCGGCTACCAAGTGTTGGGTTTTCGCCCGACAGAACACAAAGGTCCGAAAGATCGGAAAAGCCCAAGGGGTGATAGGACTTGAAAAAACATCCGTGTTTAGGGTTTAGGGTTTGTTTAGGGTTTCGGTTTTAGGGTTTAGGGTTTCGGGTAATGAGGGCCTGAGAGCCTGAATTCGAGCACTTCACACATATCTGCTTGTCGATCAGACCCTCTACTTCCAGGACCCAAGAAGTAGGATACCAGAAACCTTAAGGCTTAGGGAGCACAACAATGACAGGCACTCTTTTATACTTCCAGAGTGAATTCGGATAGAATCGAAGGGGGTTCAAAAGCTGGGTACCTGGAATGTAGCGAATGCGCCTCGTACCGGTCCACGCTGACTTCATCTGCCCGCTGGGCCAGTTCTTCGAGCCTTGCCGGGTTTAGGGTGTAGGGCTTAGGGGGAGGATTTAGGGTTTAGGGTTTAGGGTTGATAGCCAGCGCGAAGCATCTTTCGCTGCACTACATGCACTCGGCTGTGTGCCCACATTTGCTTGCAACACATCTGTGGGCAGCCCTTCCACAGGTCCAGGCTTTAGGGCGGCAAGCCTCCTCGAAAAACCAAAAGTTCAACCCTAAACCCTAAACCCTCAACCTCAACCCTAAACCCTAAACCCCCAAACCCCAAAACCCCAAAAGCCCCAAAAGCCCCAAACCCGAGGCTGCCGCCTCTCCGCCACGCCGGGCGCAAGCTGCGCGCGCAGCGCTTCGCTCGTCCAGCCCTTGGAGACCAAATTAACCCTATAATTTGGGATGTTTAGGGTTGAGGGTTTAGGGTTTACGGGTTAGGATGTTCCCCCTTATACTAACAGTCTTTCATAGGGATTATTGTACCCCCCCCCCCAATTATTATCCCTATTAAGGACTGTTCGTATAAGGGGCTTTGTCAGGGGCGAGAAATGTTTAGGGTTGAACCCTAACGGCACCCTGATACCATCTGCTCAAACCTGATCCAGGAATCGGGACCCTGCCTACTGTAGACTATCCCTAAGGCTCCAAATAATCCAAAACCCTAAACCCCAAACCCTAAACCCTAAACCAGACTGTTGAGCCCAACGTAGGTATTTTTCTTTATACTTGTAGCCTTGAGGTATGGACGAGCCCGTCGTCAAGTTACATTTGCAACTAGAGGGCCTCCCTGCACAGACCCTCAGCTACATCCTAGGGCAGTTTTAGGGTTTAGGGTTTGCTGTGATAGGGTGTAGGTGAAGGTTAGGTGTCGGAACAAGCTCGAAAGCTTCGTGAGGTGCGAAGAGCAGCTTTGGCCCGATTGCTGAGGGCCATCTAACACTTTTCTCCCACCCCACGCCGTCCGAGGCGGCAAAGCCACCCAAACCTACTCCTTTTAGGGTTTGGGCCTAAACTCAAGGCAACAGTCCACTTCAACTTATTCAGTTTCATGACGTTCGGGGTTGGGTCCGAGAGTCAAAACAATTCCCCCCTTGGGTTAAGGGGGTGTGGGGGGGCTTAAGGGCAGGAGGAGGGCCCAGAAAGGCCCCCTGATCCAGGGGGGCCCAGGCAGGTAACCTCAGGGCAACCCAGGAAGGCCCAGGGAGGCCGCCCCCAACGTAGGGGGGCGGCCTAGGCCCTGAGTTTAGGGTTTAGGGTTTGGGGTTTCGGGTTTAAGGTTAGGGTTTCGGCCTGCCATCTAAGGGTAGTTTCATGGGCCCTTCATATGGTCCCTAACCTCCTGTAAAGGGTTCTGGTGTATGGGCCCTTACTTTGTGTAGGGTATATAATGAGTATATAAGATGTAAGCACCCCTTGGACAACATCCTGAACCCGAAGAGCGCAGGCCTTCTTGGCAAGTTCGGGATCCCGCTCCATGCCGATCCTGGCTTTTCGGGGCTTGTGGGGTTGGGAAATCCTAAACCCCTAAACCTTTAGACGCCAAAATACCCCAAACCCTAACACCCTAAGACCCTACGACCTTAAGAACCTAAAACCGAAAAAACCCAAACCCTAAAACTCGCCAAACTGACCCCAAAATCCCCACAAAAAAACACCCTAAACTCCTCAAGGGCTAAACCCCTAGACCTCCCACCCCACCCCCCAACCACCCCGCCCCCCCCCAACAAAAAAAAGAAAGAGCAAAAACTCTGAACTCCGCAAGTGCAAAACCCTAAACCCTAAACTCCTCAAGCGCTAAACCCTAAACCCTATAAACCCTATAAACCCTAAACCCTAATACCCATAAACCGTGGGCCTCTGCTGCTGCGCGGCTTCCAGCAGGCGCTCGTTCCGCATGATCAGCACGCTGCCCAGCTGCTCGTCCTCGGAGCTCAGCCCCCCTTCAAAGGCGGGGCCCAGGATTTAGGGTCTAGGGTCTAGGGTCTAGGGTTTAGGGTTTAGGGCTTAGGGTTTCGGGTTTAGGGTGCAAGGTTTAGGGTTTTCAAAGGGGCCCAAGAGTCGGGGGAAAATAGTGGGACTTGACAAAATCTCCCCACCCAGGCGGTGTCAACACTAAGGGGCTTCCCGTCCACTTTCAGACCGACGGTGCCGGGGAATGCTTGGGGGCCTCTCAAGACCACAATTTAGAGCAGGTGCTACCACCCGTGGCACACATCCGGCTGTTCTCCGGCTTCCGGGGGGTTAAGGGGTGAGTCTAACCTCTAAACCCTTTCTGCTTCAGGGCTCCTGTGGTAGCTTGCCCGTGACCGAGGTTAGTCCGGTGATGTTATGCGAGCCGGATGACTTCGCCTGAGCCTCCTCCAACACCAGTATCTGGGAATGTTGCCAAAAGGAGCGCTTTATGTGGGACACTTGGTGTATAAAAGTATCTACAAGAAACCTTAAACCCTAAACCCTAAACCCTAAACCCGAGCCCTCCCAAATGGCGGTGAGCCTCACCTACTCTGGGCACTCGGGCGCTCATAGCCTCATTTCCGAAGCACAGGGGCCCCACGTCCTCGGTACTGGGCGAGGGTTTAGGGTTTAGGGTTTAGGGTTTAGGGTTTAGGGTTTAGGGTTTAGGGTTTAGGGTTTAGGGTTTAGGGTTTAGGGTTTAGGGTTTAGGAATTAGGCTTTAGGCGTTAGGGTTTAGGCGTTTATCGGGTTTAGGGTTCAGGGTTTAGCGTTTGGGGTTTAGGGTTTCGGGTGTCGATGCTCCATGTAGGGTGCAGGGCTGGGTCTCTGTGGCCACAATGTAGGGACATACCTGGGCTGTACAATCAAGTGCCCCTCAGTGTATCCCTACGGGTCCATGTACCTAAATAGGGTTTAGGGTTTAGGGTTTGGGGTCCATGTACCTAAATAGGGACTACTTGGGCCTCAACCTCCTAATTAGGGACTTTGGGGCCCAAGTATGCAATCATGAGGTAACACTAAACCCTAAACCCTAAACCCTAAACCCTAAACCCTAAACCCTAAACCCTAAACCCTAAACCCTAAACGCTTCCGAGAATCCCTCACACCTCCCCCCGTCAGAACCGGCACGGTTTAAGCAACGTCAGCCTTGTCCTGCCGATATAACCCTAAACCCTAAACCCTAAACCCTAAACCCTAAACCCTAAACCCTAAACCCTAAACCCTAAACCCCTACAGTACTAAGAACCAGCCAGTCAAAGCAGAGCCGCCTTCTGCTGCTCCCTCTCACGCCGCTCGCGACGCAGGTAAGCTCCCATGGACCTCAGCACCGTCTCTGCGTGGTCAGCAGCTGGACTTTAGGGCTCAGTACCCCTATACCCTAAACCCTAAACCCTGAACTTCTGAACCCTGAACCCAGCACCCAAAACCCTAAACCCTGTTCAAGAGTTCGAAAGCTGAAGATACTTCTGGCTTCCTGATAATGCAAGACACCATGAACCCTAATCCCCAAGCCCTAAACCCTGAAGATTTCTGGCTTCCTGACACGCAAGACGCAGCTCAAGTTAGGAGAGACAGAAATTGACGCAGGGTGGACCACCCGTCCCATTATGGCTACAAAGGTTCTTCCACGGAGGGCCTTGCAATACCTATCCAAGGTGGCCCTTAAAGCCCCTGACAAGTATTCCTAAATAGGGTCCTCATAAACCTCAAAAAAGGGGAAATATGTCAAACTTCCCAAGGGCCTACCTAGCTAATTAGCGAGCTGCGCACAGGCGTTGAGAGATTCAAGCGCCTGGCTCACGTTGGTTCAGCTGGGGCGTGGCCAGCCTCGGTGTGATGTTCTCTAAGGGTAGTTACACGGGCCCTGAATATGGTCCCTTACCGCCCTGGGTTTTAGGGTTTCGGGTATAAAGGGAGGAGAAAGGGGGCCCCTTTTAAGGGCCCATACGAAGGGACCATGTAACTTCCCTTAGAGATATGGAGCGAAGCAGAGAAGTACTTCTCAGCTTGAGATGTGACTCCGGGAATCAGGAGACCTTGCACCCGCCCTGTACACGAAAATCCTTCGAGGCGCTTACATTGTACCCAACTCCCGCAGTCCTTACTCTGAACCTGCAAGAGAGTTTTTGGGATTTAGGGTTTAGCGTTGCGCTTGCACCCTCAAGCAAGCCTCTACTAGCTGGATCCACCTGCATAAGTACTGGGAACCGTCACCCAAGCTTTTGGGCAAAGGCTTCGCAGTAGCCGCTCGCCAGAGTCTGACTTCTACATCCCGGACCCATGGTTCGGTTGCACGGGGCTCCTGGCCATCAACCCTACAAACCCTAAGCCCCAAAACCCTAGAGCTCTGGGGTCTTCATGGCTACCCTAAATCCTGAAACCCTAAAAGCTAAACCTAAGCCCTGACTCCTAAACCTTATATATATATATATACCCTAAACCCTAAACCCTGAACCCAAGACCCTAAAATTTGATAGGAGGAGTCAATAAAGTGCCGCTCTGGGTGGCCAACACGGTCGGGCAAAAGAGTTTCTCTCCTCAGCAGCGCAGAGCTTTTGGAGGCTTAGGGCTTTTTGTGTCTTTTTGGTGTTTTTGTGTTTAGGGTTTAGGGTTTTCGTGTCTTTTCGTTGTTTTGTGTTTAGGTTTTAGGGCTGAAGGTTTCGGCTTTCGGGTTTAAGGTTTCGGGTTTAGGGCAAGCTTGCAGCGAACTTGCATAGAGTTCGGCGCGAAACGATGAGAATGGCGACCGCCGTTGAAAGTGAACGGCCGCTCCTCTGACCGTCGGACGACGGCTGCAGAAGATTCTGCTGCATCTACTTCGAAGAGGTAGTTTGAACTGGACGTATTCAAAACTTTACAGAGACCCTAAACCCCTAAACTCGCACCCCCCCCCCCCACCGCCCCCCCCCCCCCCCCCCCCCCCCCCACCCAAAAAAACAAACAAACCACAGCCCTTGATGGATGATCCGCCTTGGGCCCCAAACAACGTTTTTGGAAACTGGACGTGCTGGAAGGACCCTTTCAACCCAAAACCCCAAAAACCCTAAACCCGAAACCCTAAACCCAAAAGACCCTAAACGCTAAACTCAAAAAAACTGAAGCCTAAAGCCTGAACCCTAGACCAACTTTAGGCCAAGCCTTCGGGCACCCGTCAGTCCCAATCTCTTTGGGGCTTAGGGAAGTTCAGCAAGCTTTGGATGTAGCACCACCAAATAACTATATTCCCCTTAGAACCGAAATAAAACAATATCGTTAATATCCTCTTGGGCTTTTTCTGAACAAAAATAAAAGCAATTCCCAGGGGGATATAGAGAAAGGTGCGAGGAGTCAAAGACAAACAACTATTTTGTTTAACCCAGAAACTCTTGACTGCCACGGTCATGCCCGGGGATTTGTTCAGACATTCGCGCTATGGGATGCTGAATGGGGTCACTCAAGTTTATAGGGTTTAGGGTTTTTGACAAGGGTTTAGGGTTTAGGGTTTAGAAGTTTGTAGGGTTTAGGGAAGGGTTTCGGGCTTCTGGACGGCTGAAGATTCTGCCGGCAAGGGCCTTGCGAAACCCTCGGCACAGGCCATGCCCTATAAACACAGGGTTTGTGCGTTTAGGGTGCCTAAACCCTTTTGAACCCAGACTCCTGAAGTCAGCTGGGAAAGGCCTTCGACAAACTTCCTGTCCAGCCGAAACCCTTTTGCACAGGCTTGTCTCAGCGCGCAGCCGAAACTCTAAACCCCGAACCCTAAACCCTAAAACCCTGTGAACCCCATGAACTAAACCCTAAACCCTAAACCCTAATTAAACCCTCTCTCTCTCAGGCATTCGAAACGTCAAGCCTGCCAGGGACAGCTCTCGTGAATTAAACCCTAAACCCTAAATCGCCTGAACCCTGTATCCACCCCCTGGGGTCCAAGAGTCGAAGTTTCGTCCAAGTTTGCGGAGTCCAAGGGAGGCCTGTCACCTCCGTGTATAGGGTTTAAGGGTTTAGGGTTAAGGGTTTAAGGGTCTATATGGGCTTAGGGTTTCAAGCTTAGGGGAATTCAGGGTTTAAGGGTTTAAGGGTTTTGGGGTCTTGAGTTGAGCTGGGGGAGTACTCGAAATTTCCAGGGACCTACAGTTAGGTTCTTTGGAACCCCGCAGCGTGCAAGCACAGGGCCGAGGGCGAATTCCACGAGGCATGCCTACATCCTCAGGAAGACAAGCTCTCAACACTGAACCCCAATTAACATAGGGTTCTGTGTTCAGCTGGAGGGTCACCCGGAGCCCTGCGCTCTAAACCCGACAGCAGCGTTTAAACCGAAGGGTTTTCGGCTTAAGGTTCTCAAACCCGGCAGACCCGCGCAGCAGCTCCATTGCGGCGCCTCTCGCTGGACTATCTGGGTCAACTTGGAAATCATCTCCTGCATGAAAAGCCTAAAACCTAAGCTGGATGAACGGTCCCGAAGACTTCGGGTCAGGCTGAGGGCTTTTGTGCGTCGCTGCTGCTGTCCATGTGGACAAAGACACGGAACTTGATTGATGATCACACAGGGTCTTAAAGGTGTAGAGTTTAGGGTTTAGGATTCTAAGGGTTGAGGGGTTTTTAATGTTAAAATACCCTCAAGGTGTAGAGTTTAGGGTTCAGGACTTTAAGGGTTTGCGGACCTGAGAGTTCTTAGGGGCTCCAAGGGGGTGAAGAGAACTCGGCGTCCATATGCACCTGAAGTGCCAAGCCCACTACGTGCGGACTCCCAACCTGTCTCAAACCTCTAGCTGCCGAACATGCTTCCTTATAAGGGTCCACGTGCCTTACTAGCATATACTTGGCCCCCGAAAATCCCTATAGAAAGGACTAACTTTAAGTTAAACCCTAAACCCTAAACCCTAAACCCTAAACCCTAAACCCTAAACCCTAAACCCCATTTAGGTACATGGACCCATCAAAGAGTTGTCCTGGCTGTGTTGCGCAAGCAGCCTCTGCTCGGGCGGAAACGCTTCGACCTAGGTTTGCTTAGGGTTTAGGGTTTAGGGTTTTAGGGTTTTAGGGTTTTAGGGTTTTAGGGTTTTAGGGTTTTAGGGTTTTAGGGTTTTAGGGTTTTAGGGTTTTAGGGTTTTAGGGTTTTAGGGTTTTAGGGTTTTAGGGTTTTAGGGTTTGCCTTGAAAGGCTGTGCAGCTTTGCACTTAAGCTGAAAGCTCGGAGTGCGCGTTTAAGGAGCACCCCCAGAGCGCCCCCAGGATGCCTTTCTAAGCCGCAACACACGCGCTCTCTGCGTCATGCGGATGTACACAGAACCCCAAGGCTCCAAAATAGGGCTTAGGGTTCATGGTTTAGGGTTTAGGGTACACAGAACCCTAAGGCTCCAAATAGGGTTTAGGGTTTAGGGTTTAGGGTTGTAGGTATTATTTGTATACTTGGAGCCTTAGGGGAAGCAGCTTCTGCGCCCTGAGGCCGGGACGATCATCCTGTAGATTGCGTGAACCATGACCTCTGATAGGGTTAAGGGTTAAGGGTTAAGGGTTAAGGGTTAAGGGTTAAGGGTTAAGGGTTAAGGGTTAAGGGTTAAGGGTTAAGGGTTAAGGGTTAAGGGTTAAGGGTTTAGGGACTCTGAGATGTTGCCAGGGTGTGCATCCAAGAGAATCCCAGGCCTTAAGTGGCGTAAACCCTAAACAGCAGCCAGTAGACCCTAAACCCTAAACCCTAAACCCTAAACAAATTGGTAGCTAGCTCGTGGGCTGCCCATCGACGCCATCCAGCTCCAGAGTGGAAAAGCAACGCGCGCGCGCGCGCGCGCGCTCACAAGTTGATCGTATAATAAGGGCACCCTTTTTTGGGTTGGTTATGTTATAAGGGAAACCAGAACCCCAAAGAAGGGTACCACTGGGCTACCACGTCTATAACATACCCCACGGGTCCGTGTACCCACGTAGTCATTTTTTGGGCCCTAAAGCTACAGTGTCGGAACCGCTGAAGCCCAAGCATATACTGTATGGGTACACGGACCCTTTGGGATGAGCATAGGGCGCCCATTACCTCGTCTACCACACTGAACCCTCAAGCCACTGAGCTCTCGAGTTCAACTCTTCGTCCGTGTGACGAAGTTTTGCACCCCAAGCCCGAAACCCTAAACCCTAAACCCTATATGAAATCCTAAAGGTTCCCTTCTGAAGCTCAAACCCTTAAGAATCAGTAAGCCTGTACCACAACTCCAACCCGTAAACCATAACTTAAGCCTGACCCTAGACCAGCCCCTATGCCTATGTATATATATATATACATATATGAGCTAAACCAAGACTAGCCTAAATACGTGTATAAACCCCAGACCCCAAACCCTAAATCC